TATATATATATATATATATATATATATATATATGTATATAAATCATCTTTTATTTGACCTTGAACTTAATTAGCAAGTGCAAAATAGATCAATAAAGTATTGCGCATAAAAAATTACAATAACAACGCAATAATGTAAAGCTTTGAATGTAGGTAGCAATAGTGAAACGTTGTCGTGATCGTCATAATTGTCGCAGTATAACATAGACACGTCAGCGAAACAGTTATTTGAGCTTGCTTATAAATAATTCTGTTAATAAAACACGTAAGCTCCAGCAATTTAAACAACAAAATGTATAATAACAACCGAAAATCATTGCTTGGAAGTTACAAAATAATTCAGCATGTTTCTTCAAAAATAATTGGCTTAGCGCCGTGGACACTAAAAGTTTCCAGTATATTCTCAGATCGTCAACAAATTCCCAACAGAAATATAACTTATTCTTCTTCATGGGTTGGAACAGTGTACAACATTATTCTTTTTTTGGGTATCGCTTCGTTTGGTATCTATAGAATGATTGTTAACGCAATGAGCCAACGATTCAGTAACTCATTGCTTTCAATGACAATTTATCAATTGTTGTTCGTGACACTGATAAATGCAAGCTTTATACCGTTGATTTATATCATTCGGCAAAAGTCCATAATGAAAGCGATTAATAATCTAAAAATTGTGGACTTTCTATTGAGTCAGTGCGCAGATTACACGCTAGAAAGTGATTACACCAATGACGTAATCTATGCCATCAATATGCTTATGAATTTTGGTCTAATCACTTTGGATCTATTCAATAGTCTAGTGATGAGTGTCTTGTTCGAAAGCATACCCAGTATTATCAGCAGCGGGGTGATGATCCAATACGCAATTCAGCTAAATAAAATGAATAGAAGGTTCAGCAGCATCAATTCAGCGTTTTCAAAGCTGGGAAATCACAATTTAAAGTCTGATATTAATTATGTGCCATCAGAGACGCAGGTAGTCCAATCACGCGCGCTTATTCTTCATGCGATTGACATAACCAAGAAGGCGTACATCGAACTGTGCGAAATATGTGAAATGATTACCGACTTCTACGGAATTCCAATTTTAATTGCCATTTTTTCGTTTTCTGTTAGGGCTTTATTTACGGTTTATATTTCGATTTTGTCAATTCTGCAAATTCAATTTTCTACCATACGATGGTATCTATTGGCAATACGTATAATATTTGCGATTTTTTTATTTACGACGCTGACTTGTAGTGTAACCACAATAGCAAAACAGGTAATTTCAATTTAGGCTTTTGTTGAAGTTAGAATAAATTTTTATTTATAAATTTTTTAATTTGAGTTCAATTATTTTTTTTAGAATAAAAGATTGGCATTGATCATTAGCCATCAGACGGATCAACCTGAAATCGATGAGAAAGTTGAAAAAAATGTGAGAAACTTATTGTAATTTCGTTAATTTTGAAAATAAAATAAAAAATTCTCCGATTACAGCTATTAAAATTCGCAAGTGACCTTCGTCATTTGAAGGTTGAAGTAACTGCTTGCAATATTATACCACTTGATCTCAGCATCAACAATAGTTGCTTAGATCACAGGTGCATTTCATTGTTTATATTCTGAAAAGATTAATATATTCAAACTGTATGTATGTGGAGTACATGCGGGAAGATACGCCATCTGTCGAGGTTTCTGTCTACCTCCAAACAGGTCTGAGCTTGTTCAAGGTCATGTAACTGCGCAGTTTTCTTTGTTCCATTTCTAACTGCGTAGTAGATGATATCATCAAACTGGTTTTAGGTAGAGAAGTGGGGGTAACTGCGCAGTAGATAACTCATTCTGTTCTAGAATTTTCTTACTGCGCAGTAGATGACTTCATCAAACCGGTTTTTAGGTAGAGGAGTGGGAGTAACTGCGCAGTATTTTCTGCCTATATAAGCAGCTCGCCGCGAGCGTACTTCACAAAAACGAAGTACACATCTCCAGTGAAGTGCCAGTTGTCGACAGACGGTAGTGAAGTACGAGTTCTTGGTGATATACATCTTCTATCTATCAGTATTACTAATTGTAAGTATTCATTTACTGTCTAATTAAAATATGAATTGAATGAAGAATCATTTAATCAATTGTATGAGCTCAATGATGTAGAAATTGACAGATGTAAGAATGTAGGCATTACTACTCTTATGAAAGGATATGCTTCTCTGAGTCCAGGACAGCAAAATATTCTGGAAAATGCTGGTTGGATTGTTAATGAAGATAATAACAAGTTGACTGATAATAGTGGTTACTTCGATATTTCAGTACCTCTGAATTTTATCCTCGGATTTGCTGAAGATTATCAACGAGTTATCGTTAATGCCAAGCATGAATTGATATTAATCAGATCAAATACTGATCAAAATGCTTATATTGTTACCGCTCAAGGTGAAAATGTAATGATTACAATCCAGACAATTGAGTGGATTGTTCCGTATATAACAATGTCTGACAAGCGAAAAATTGAGGTGTTGAATTACATAATCTCTGATCCAGCTATCCCGATCAGTTTCCGGACTTGGTAATTGTATGAGTATCCACTGCTACCAGCTACCTCCAAGCATATTTGGGTAATCAAAACAACAAATCAGCTTGAAAAACCTCGTTTTGTCATCCTTGGATTTCAAACAGGAAAAAGAATCAACCGAATCAAAATGCAAGCGAGTTTGACCACTGCAACATAAGAGATATTAAGCTCGTCTTGAACTCTCAGAGTTATCCATATGGAAATTTGAACCTCAACATTGCGAATAATCAATATGCCTTGATGTATGACATGTACACAAATTTTCAAAGTGCTTACTATGGAAAGGAAGCGGAACCGCTATTGACTAAGAAAGATTTTCTTGAGACAGCTCCTCTGTATATCATTGATTGCTCCAAGCAAAACGAGTCAATCAAGTCTGGGCCTGTGGATATACGTCTGGAGTTTGAATCATCAGCACAGTTTCCAAATCAAACTTCTGCTTACTGTTTAATAATTCACGACCGAATAGTGGAATACCATCCCATCAGCAGCAATGTAAGAAAACTTACTTAATGGTACAGTTTGATTCTAATCCTACCATACACTACGTGTATGAGTGAGACTTTGCATCTAGACAAGCAAGGTCCATGGAAACAAGCAGAAAGAGATAGAAAACGATTTAACCAACGAATATAAAATTAAATTACATAGAATTATTGAACCTGTATTAATTAATAAACTTAATGTAATAAAAAAGAATTAATAAAAAACACTTTATAATTTAATGATTGTTTATTTATAAAACCTTATTAAAATAATTATTCTAAGATACATTAGCTGGTAAAAAGATTTATTCAACATTGTTACATTCATAGCAGTCCTTCTTCAATGGATAAGGGTTGTCAAGAACATCATAATACATAGTCGTATAATGCTCTGTACATCTTGTATAATTGATAAATCTTGAATCCATCCTCATACGCTCAGGGAGCTTTGACCATATGATATTAATTTCATGTTTTGTGAAGTATGAAAGATTCATCCAAACAGGCAATATCTTGTGGATCCATCTTGACTAAAGACTGGAGCTGATAAAAAAGCTGTAATGACTTTTCCAGCGATGGATTCAAACCCCAACAGCTGAGAAACCAACGTTTCATTCTTTGCACTGTTCCATACGCACAGGCATAATTGCGTTTCCTTGAGTGATTTTTCTTCAGGATACACGGTTGGATAGGATCAAAGTTTTCAAGATGGTTGATAAATCTCATCTTTGATAGATCAATTATTTCAGATGAAAAATTAATTACTTTTTCAAGCCAAAGTTTTTTTTCCTCACCCAAAACATAAACGTATGTTTTGTGCTTGAGAGTCTCTCGCAGCACTTCTTCGAGTTCGGTATAGAAAATTGATCCTTCATTCCATTTAATACCATGCTTTTCTCAACCAAAAATCTTTGGTCTCCAAGACCATGAATTCATTGGTGTACTCAGCAGGTGGTTCAAAAGTTGCTAGCGCAGCAGAATTCAAAAAATCCTCTTCATCACTTAGCGAGATAACAGCAAGCTCTTTGACAATAAAAGATCTATCAAGCGTGTAGAAACCTTCAAAATCAATGAAAATCTCCATATTCTCGACTCGAAGTGCTCAAGTTCAAAAACAGAAACTGAATGATGATCTCACAGAACAGATTAAAGATCAATCCTCACCCCGGAAACACAGTGTGGAGGGAGAAATTGTGTCAGATTCTCAGAAGATTGCATTAGAGCAGCCACCGGATGACAGATTCGAAATGGTGAGTTCACAATTCAATATGGTAGAATTCAAAATGTTGGATTCAAAATTCAAATATCGGGTAGCAACCACCAGATTCAGATAACAACCACCAGATGGCGAAAATCAGATTCAAAATGGTGAACTCAAATTCAAAATGGCGCAAATCAGATTTAAAATGGCAGAAACCTGACTCAAAATGGTGGATTCGAGATTCAAAATGGCAGAAATCAGATTCAAAATGGCGGATTTCAGACTCAGATAACAGTAACCAGATGGTGGATTCCAGACTCAAAATGGTGGATTTCAGACTCAGATAGCAGCCACCAGATGGCGGATTTCAGATGGCAGATTCAAAATGGCGGAAGTCAGATTCAAAATGGCGGATTTCAGACTCAGATAGCAGCCACCAGATGTCAGATTTCAGACTCAGATAGCAGCCACCAGATGGCGGATTTCAGATAGCAAATTCAAAATGGCGGATTTCAGACTCGGATAGCAGTCACCAGATGGCGGATTCAAAATAACCATCAGTTTAATATGTTAATCATCGAGAAAATCAATTTTTTTTAAAACAAAAGAAATTGAAAAACAACAAAAAATATAGAACTAAAAGTTAACCAGTTTAGCTTCTCAGAATTGCTTTTAAAATTTTTAATCCTTGTGAAGGCTCAAATCTATTTTCAAATTACTCTAGAAGTCGTCGAGAAATGATAGTTTGCGCCACCAATGAATCCTCCTCATAAAAAAAAAAAATTAATTAAGTGCCATCATTAGAAACAATATTGTTAAAGAACACTTTTTGCTTAGCTAAGGAAAATGTTTTTATTAAGAATTATTGCATTTCAGACATTATAGTCATGTATTAAACCATTTGACAAAACCATTTTAATTATAAAACTTAGAGTATCAGAGAATTGTTCATTTCAACGCCCACCATTCATTAAGCATTAAATAAAAAAAAACAATTGTTTTTCAATTTCTTTTGTTTTAAAAAAAAATTGATTTTCTCGATGTTAAACATGTTCAACGTTTGGTTCTATACTTTTTTCTTGTTTTTTGAGGATTCCAGTAAATTTTTGGACCAGTGTTATGAAAAATACGACAAAAGAAAAAAAATTTTTTTTTTAATTGAAAAGAAAAAATAGAAATCGAAAAAACACCTCTCTGGAAATTTCATGATATCTGTAAAAAAATGTCAAAGTTTAGAATGAGAAAAAGAAAAAAGAAACTAAAAATGGTATTCATAAAAAAATTCGGAGTTTTTTCTAAAAATTTTAAAAATAACGATGAAGATAGCTTTAAAGAATTTTTTAATATTTTTTTCCAAAAAGAA